ATCTGCCCAGTTTAATTTATATTAACACATATTTATTGTGTAGTTCTCTTCACGACAACACAGACACAGGTTGGTTCTTTGAAACAGGCGTTTATTACTTGGGCTTTCTCTCCTCCTTAGCTTCACCATCGCCAGTACACCAGTATGCCAGTATGCAGTGAGAACTGGTCAAGAGTGAACAGTACAAACCAATTAGCAACTTTACAGTACAAGTGTTAAGTCCAAACACTAATAAAAACATTTCTCAAATGACAAATACCTCGTTGACTGCTTGTCCTGAAAAGACGTCTTTAAATCCTTGTGTTGCTTTTCTTTCAATAAACCTTTAGCTTACCCCACAGACAGACAGCATTTGGGCAGAACGTCCCTTCTGGCCAGGGTGGCCATCTGTGGAACAGTCTTCCTCAATTTATTAGAAAATGCTCAACATTCAACTTGTTTAAGGCACAGGTTAAAAACTGGTTATGGACAAATCAAGTGTGTGATTATGTATAAGTTGTATAGTTTTAATGTTTTATTTGGGAATAGAAAAGTCTCGTGTGCTCTCGTTAAGGGTGTTCTCACGAAAAACTAGCTCTTACACTTTACACATGTACATTTCAAATAAAGACATTTTTAACACTAAATATATATTCGTGAAATTATGTAACCCATTATAAATCATTCACACACATCATGAACTCTACACAGAACGTTCTTTAACAGCATTTACATATTATAATATGTTCTTTTTCTTTCTCTGCATATTTATCATTGCTAAGTAATGCAAAAGTAATGTAGCAAGTAGTATAACAAATTACTTTTTCTGACAAGTAGTTAACTAATGTGCTGCATTACTTTTAATAAATGTAACAAGTAATGTGTAATAAATTACTTTTTTAGAGTAACATTGAAGACACAGTATAAGAGGATACTGGGGAAGCTTGGACAAACTCACACACTATCAAACAGAAGCCAAAACTGAAAAAAAGCAACAGGAGCTAATCGACTAAGAAAGACCTGATACAAGTTGAAGATACAAAACATGCTTGAATATTAAGAACAACAGAATCAACTAGAAAATACACAAAACTAAAAAACAAAATAACTATATACACTGTATATCTATCTGCACTACACTTTCACGTAGAGTCTTAAGCACATGGTTTATTAAGGTGGTACAGTAACAGTGCAGTTAATGTAAGGGGAGAGTTCTCCTGAAAAGCTCACTCTCCAACTCCGGTAACTACACACTCAACATTTTTCATGCAGCACAGCCAAAACAGTAACACTGTAACAGAGATCTTGAACACTTCATGATAAAATATCATATGATATAATCACACACACACACACACACACACACACTGTAAACCTACAATAAAGTGTTTTTATATATGAGAATCACCATGTTATGCATGTAACCTATTGTATAAGATAAGATTGTGCCACTTGCTGTGTAAGATATAATAATTAGGATTAATGTGCGATGTTTGACCGTGTCATGACCTATTGTGATAAGAAAAAGCCAAAGGGTCCTGACTGGCCTCTGGACGATTCAGGACGAGTGGGAAAGTTACCCAGCAGCAGGGGGTGGGGATACTGGTCCCTATATATTAGGGGACCAGATGACACCCCAGCACTTTCTTCCTGCTGCTTCTTTCTGTCCATCTCTGTGTTGCTCTGCTGTCTGTGCTTGAGGCTGTACACCCCAGGGTTTTGCTTTGCTTGCTTTCTGCTATGTAATTCTCTTGCTAAATGTCTGCATGTATTTTTCCTGCTGTTCATGTGATTCAATGTATTAAACTCAGTTCCAAGAATTCTACTTTTTTCCAGAGCATCTTTTTGAGTGCTTGATTTTAAGTTGAATCTCCACATCGTTGGTGGGATAAGGTTATCAGGATAGCTTCAAAATTTGCGACCACAGCTTGTCTGATTAGGTAGAGGATCAATAGGGTGCCAATAAAACAGGGGGACACTCCCATAGGGTTTAAAGTCTTGGACTCTCCACCATTTGCTCTTAGAACTGGAAAGTCTTCTCGGATGAGAGGTGAAACGTCTTCAAAAACCTAAAGAAGTCCAGACGTCTTTCTTTCCAAGCTCCTTAGACTAGAATGCCCTGGATGACTGAGAACCTTCACAGACAAAATAAACAGAAGGCAAATCAAAAGAAAACATAAACCCAGAACCATTAAAATAGTTATAGTTATATAAGTATTGAAGACATAAACAGTCACACTAGCAACCAAACCAAACCAATGAAACCAAAATCTAAGGAACATAACCAAACTGAGAGTATTTCATGAATTTAACATTCAATGTCCGAGACTCTCACATATCCTGCCTTTTCCTCTTTTTCTCTTGCACCTGTTTTTGTATTCATTGTATCTAACAAACCTGGAAATAAACCTACTTAACTTTCCCCAGTGCTCAGCAACAACCTATCTTTATAAAGTTTCAGTCATGGAGCATGTTTTTGTTGTTTTTATAAAGGTTTTTTTTTTTTTTCATTACATATAAAATAATAACTTCATAAAAGTGGGTCTGCCCTAATTCAATTTGAACATGTACTCACACTTCCTGAAATCCTGTTGTAAAAAGAAGGAAGAAAGAAAAAAAGAGAAGTGAGGAAGAGAAACTTCAAGGATAAAGGTCAGCTGAGATTACGGTGGAGAGAGGAGTGGTGAAAGACCAGACAAAAGAGGTAAAAAAACAAACATTTAATGTTTTTTGTGGAAAATATATTTTAAAACACTAAATGAGCCGCAGGATTATATAAAAGTGTGAACTGTACTGGTCAAAAAACTTGCTAGACGGAAGCCACTTCTTGAATTCATGAAATGATACAGATGACCTAAAGTTACATGGAATACGACAGAGAATATGCAGTTCTAACAGTTTGTATTGTAATAGTGCTTTTGTTGACCTTTTTAATCTTTTGAGAACAGATCTTTGTGTGTGTTTACCATAAAAACTTTAGGGTAGTGGTGTTGGCACAGTCGGTAAAACTGGTACATAACTATGGAATAACCAAGCATGCAACATCCTGTATTGCGATGTGTGACGTAAAATGTTGCATTTCCTTTGTTCTAATCTCTCTTTACTTCATTTGCTGCAATACAGTTTGTCTCTGGAGGGAGAGACTGAA